TCTTCTGCCCATGTTAAAGACGCCAGAGGGAAGCATTTCCCCCTGTCCTTTTACCAGCTTATCCCATTTCCCTCTGGAGATCATCCCTATATCTGCCAAAGCACACAGTGGCCTATTTAGTTTTTACATTGTACACACTCCTCGTCCTAGTACCATACCCCCTCATGACGCTAGCATTATGTGGTATTGGGGTCTAGTTGAAAGTTCCATTATTCTTGAACAGGACCAATAAAACAGGCTACATTTTCTTTCTTTGGAGATTAAAATTTTAAGTTTTGCTTTATAAATAAAAAGCACTTGATAGCTTAGAGTGTTTGATAATGCATTCCCTCACTGAAGAATAACCAATGAGTACAATTACAATAACTGTAATTTTAATATAGTATTAAATATATAATATATATTAATATGTTATATATTAATATATATTAAATATTTAATATATAATAAATATTAACTATATAATGCATATTAATATATAATATATTAATATATAATATATATGAAATATATAATACATATTAAATATATAATATTTAATGTTAAATCCCTCAGGCTATAATTCAGAGCAGGAAGGTGAAACTGATATTAACATGAACTTAACACATTGTTAGCTTACATCTCAGTAATGGAATATCCATTTTAAGTTTTACAGGCCTCCCTCATAAAATTTAGTAAAGTGACCTTTACTCAATTCATTTTTAATATAGGATAAGGGATTTATTTTTCATCTTTATTGAGAACTAAATGACATATAATATTCCATATTTGCTTTATATTTAATCCTTTTCTATAAAGCAGTGTACAGCTTTCTAAATCCAGTGTAGAGAGTGCTAAAATATAGGTGAATGTATAATTGTAAAGTGTATGAAACAAAATTTTAAATACAGATACTTTAAAAACAGTTTCAGTAAGTTGATTATTAAAATTCGATATTATAATTTTACTTTATAAATCTAGTGTGTAGAGGAAAAACTGTCAAGTTCTTACCCACAATGCTAGCTTTCTTAGTTTAAAAGACAATCTCAAAACTCCAGCATTGTATTAGTTTCTTATTGCTGCTGTAACAAAGTACCAAAATCATACTGACTTGAAACAACACAGATTTATTATCTTATGGTTCTGTAGGACAAACATCTGACACTATCTCACCAGGCTAAAATCAAGGTGTTTGCAGAGCTGTGCTCCCTTCTGCAGGTTCTAGGTGAGAATTTATTTCCTTGGCTTTTCTAGCTTCCGGAAGCTACCAGCATTCCTTGGCTCCTGGACCCCTTCTTCCACCTCCAAAGCCAGCCATGCAGGTCTGGTCCATCTCACATGACATCATTCCCCTTGCTTCCATTCTCAAATCTCTTTCTTTGACTCTCCTCTTCTGCCTTTTTCTTCCACTTTTAAGGACCCTTATATTACACTGGGTTTCCCTGGAAAATCTAAAGTAATCTCCCTGTTTAAATGTTGGTGAAGAGCAGCCTTCATTCTTTTTGCCATGTATTTTAACATACAAGTTCCAGAGATTAATTAGGACTTGGCCATCTTTGGTGAAATGTCATTCTGCCTACTGCAAATTTCATTTTTACCAAATTAATTATAAATTAATGGATATTCAAACACAGGAAATAGAAAAAAAAAACTAGTGTAAAACTATAAAATAGGTAATATTAAATGCATTTTCCAGGTGAGGCAGTGCAGTATCTGAGAGGTAATGTTGACATTTGCCCAACCATTGAAACCCATTTGAACTCATATCAGTCCCAGTCTGCAGTCTAATCCTTCTATTAATTGTACTACTTGATAGGAATTTTTGCCTATAGAATATGTTCTGGAGATGTATTAACTTCGTGGTTACTTAACACTGTCCTTAGGCATGTATGACTTGTATCAGTGGCAATAAATGCCTTCTCCTTGGTTAATCTCAGTGAGATCAATGGATTTGTTTAAGAAGCTTTTTGTTGGAAAAGAGACTCAATCTTTCAGTGTTTTATCATGGTATACTTATAACATCTTGATTCTGTCACATTTATAATGGGAACTTTGTATGAAAGAATACAAAACGCACTTGACATTTATCTTGCACTGAGTTAGTGTGCTCTCCTGTTTGGCTGGGGTTAACTTTAATCAGCAAGTTAGCGCAGACATTTTGGAGATCTCACTTGCTGATACATAAGAACCCAGCACTTATTTGCATAATGCATCCTGCCAAGTTCAAGGGAATACAATAGCATAATAGAACACAATTTAGAGAACAGAGAAATCCAAAAGAACAAACCTTGTCAAGAACAAAGAACTTTGTCAGTACTCAGAAGAAATAATTTTTTTATATATAGTTCTCAGCATTGTTTGTGGTAATTAAAAAATATAGACATCATTGAAGTATTCTGTAATGGGCCTCTACAGTTTTATAAACAAATGGCATGTCTCATATATATATTGAACTTTTTGTATCTGAAGTCATTTTAATCCCAATGTCCTAGCAAAAAATCTAGCATGCTACTTTGTGTATTGTAGGCCCTCTGTAAATATTAGAATATTTGAAAATTAATACCTGAACTCAAAATGAGTCTAAGGAAGCAGGTGTTTATATTAGTAAGGCTAATATTTACATAAATTCACATAAAATGAAATCATTGGTACTCTTTATGAAGTTAAATGTATACACGTGTTACAGAAAATTGAATAACTTTATAGCCTAGTTAAGGGAAAATATCCAATAACTAGGTTTGTCTGTATTATTCTGAGCACATGAAATTATCAACTGCAAAATGTCTCACATACAACCTAGAATGTATTAGGACTTTCACTGAGAGTGACATTGACTTTTAAATTTTTTTTAAGGTTGTTTTTAAAAGTTACTATTGCAGCACTGTTAGAGTTAATTTGCATTATGTTCATCTGTCAGCACTAAAACACAAAATAGCTATAAGCATAAGAAAAAATATAGATGTCCACTGTGAGACTAGATGATAGGCATCTAGTTGAAGAAGACATGGAAGAAAATGACAGTTTTCTGACTGGATTTTTTTTCCACTAAAATAAAATTCCGTGAATTACACTATAATATAAAAGAAATGGAAAGTACTCATTGGTAGAAAAATGGCCACCCATTTCAAACTGGGAGAAAAAGTGTCCTGTTTCATAGAATTTAATTATTTAAAGAGAATATCTCAGAGAAGCTTTTTAGATGCATGGGCTAGGAAAGACTCTTCACTTTATTGCAGTCTTATATTCTTCAAAGGTAAAAACAAACAAGAAGTGAACATGAACAAGGCTTTATACTATGTCCTGGATAATATGGTCGTTCTACACGTATGTGTGTGTTACCTACAATATGACTGGCACAAGTATTTATTAAGACTCTAGTATTTGCTAAGCTGTATATTAGATGCTGAGGATTCAACAAACAGGACCAGTCCCTTATTTCAAGTTTATAGTGTACAGATGCCTAGTTGGGACAGATACAGAGTTAAATATGTGCATTTGCACTTCCTGGCCTTAAGAAATCACCTTGAAAGGGCACCAGAAGCTTTTAAAATGGTTCTCCTCGAAACTAAGTACATATTGTAATATTCCAGATGGAAGCATATGACAAATTCTCTATACATTTCTCCTCTATGTCTCAACCGAAACCTGGCTGACCTCCAAATACCTGACTTCACTGTTGTCCTTTCAAGAAGAGGCTTGTTCATTCTCCCACACCCCAAATTCCTAAAGCAATCACAGCATTCTCCTAGTTGTTTTGTTTGTTGGTTTTGGGTTGTTTGTGGGGTTTTTTTTGCCAATTCTAGACTATTATTCTTCTATACATATGTGAGAAAAAGCTCTTGATCCTTTAAAATTTATAGTAACCAAATTTACCACCCTCTAAACTTCCCCCTTTTGTCAATTTTCTGGTGAATCAGTCCTTCTCCATATTCATTGAGGGGTTTGACCCCCGGTTTACATTCTTCTTTCCATTTCATTTTCTGCATTCTTCTGAATGGTTTCCATATGCAAGCAGAGGTCCTATCCAACCCCCTAGTTACCCTATTTATTTGATCTTCAAACCTAATCACTTTCTTGGGGTTGAAACCATGCAACTCAGATTGGTACTTGAACCCACATGCTGGGACTCAAACCCAGCCAAAACCCAGTTTGGGACTTGAACCCATGGTCTTTTAACTGAGATCGCACACCTGGTCTCAGGACTTAAGGAAGCTCAGGTTCTTAATGTCTCCTCACAGAAAGAATTCAGTGAGAGACAAAGTGATAGGTAAGAAGTGGATTTATTTAGAGAGAAACGTACTCCACAGACAGAGTGTGGGCCACCTCAGAAGGTGAGAGTGGCACCAGGGTATGGGATTGTCAGTTTTTATAGAGGTGGGTAATTTCATAGGCTAATGAGTGGGAGGAGTATTCCAACTATTTCGGGGAAGGGGTGGGGATTTGCAGAAATTGGGCCACTGCCCAATTTTTGACCTTTATGGTCGGCCTTGGAACTGTCATGGCACCTGTGGGCGTGTCATTTAGCTTGCCAATGTGTTACAATGAATGTATACTGAGGCTTAAGGTCTAGTGGAAGTCGACTAGTCTGCCATCTTGGACCTATCTGGTTCTAATCAGTTTACGTCGTGTACTCAAGCTTTTAAAAGTTGTGCCCTGCCCCCTTCCCTCCTGTTTCAGGGTGATGGGAATATTCTAAAACTGTATCATGAGATGGTTGCACAACTTTATAAATTTACTACAAATCATTGATTGTTTCATACTTGAAATTATTGAATTTTGTGAAATGTAAAGTAAACCTCAGTAAAGCTACTAAAAATTAAAAGAAAAAAAAATCAAATCACTGTCACATCTACTGTGGTTCAATATACACTCCAAGACAGCACACAGGAAGTTACCATCTGAAAGTTCCCCAACCCAGGAGTGTTAATATCCAACAACCCCTTTATTCATCTAACTCCCTTCCCTCTGGCTTTCTCAGTCTCCTTCTCCCATGTATACATGGTCTTTGACTAAATTGAGACCTTTAGTTTCCCTCTCTTTCCCCTGTGTTGACTTCCTTCTCTATATTTTGGGCATTTTGAAGTTCATAACTTCCCATACTTCCTTTTTCTGCAGGCTTCCCAAACACTTCATTCCAAGTATTTCTTCTCCACTGTCCTGAAGATGCCAAAACCATCAATCTTCCTCTCACCCTATCAGCTCTTGTGTTGCTGAGCTTTATTGTTGGTACTAAAAGTGCATGCTTTCTAGTCTCTGCTGTTCTTTCAATGCAGAAAAAAAAAAAAAAAAAAAAAAAAGCATCCTTAGCTGCTTCTCCCATTTCTTGTCTGTCTTCCAGCTCCCACAAAGACAGTCTTTACCCCTCTCATCTTACTCCTTGCCTGACCTGGCTTTTTGTTAGCTGGCAACTCTGCTTTATGCTTGGGTGTCAAGTATCTACTCCTTATCATTATCTTATTTTTCTGTTGGACGGAGTAGCCAATAATCTGGATCCGAAGCATCCCATCTCCAAAGGTCTTTTGCTCCATTAATTATCTCTTTATGTGTTGGATTCTTTCTTGTGGTATATAAATGTGCTCATCTCTTCCACTCAGTGACGGGTGGAGTGGGGGAATCCCTCCTTGACACCAGTCATTGTAACACAAACTCTTTTTTTTGCTCTTGTTTGCTTAATCAAATTTCTTGAAAGCAGAATATATATAGTCACTTCATTTGCTCACAAATCTCTTTTCACTTTCCGAGAATGTGACCCTGTACCCAAAATATCCCCAAATTTTCTCTGGGGACTTTGTGCCTCAAATACTTCTCAGCCACTTTTTTCAGTATAATCACTCCACATTAAGGAGCATTTAATACACTGCTTTGTGGCTTCCTGATCGTCTGTATCGCTTGACAAACACACAGCAACCATGTTTTGTCAAAATTATAGCTTGTCTGTAGCACAATGCCTATGTCATAGCAGGTGCTTGAATAACACTAGGATGGATGACTAGACTACTACAGAAAATGAACCTAAAGCGTATTATTCCTATGAATTCATAGAACTCTATCACTGAAAGGGTGTTATGATTATTTAACTTCCCAATTCTCTAAGATACCCTATAAGTCTTACCTCTGTTAACTACTTACTAGTAACCTAATAAAGTTGTTTCCCTTAATTTTCTCATAGGGAAAATCGAAAGATTGGAATAGACGGTAGTTCCAAGCTGTTTTGAAATGAGCTTATTCTAAATACAATTTTCAAGCACACAAACTACATGCCACATGTATAAGTGAATGCTAGTAGTTGCCTGGGGCAAGGTCAAGGTGTGGTTACTTACTTAGTCTCAATCCCTATCTTTGGAGCTACTGAGCAGGTGTCAATGAATGGATGAATGAGTAGAAGCTAGATTTGATGCCAATTCAGGACAGCTCCAGTTTTTCATGTTGTGAGTTGCAGATAGGGAGATAAATTTGTAAACCCTTCCTGATTCTGTGAGAGAATGAGAATGATAAGGAGAGGAGTCGGATATCCTAAAACAATATTGCAGTAAAATATGTTCCAAAGAAGGTTTAATTTTATACAAATACACCAAAACATAAAAGTAAAATCGATATATTTTTTAAAATGTGCTGCACTGTTTTAGGCTAAATCTGACTTCCTTTTTCCCCCTCTGCATATTGGACACTGTTCCATTTTTACTGCTCAGGCTATCACTTTCCTAAAGCAGTTGAATAAGCCCGAGAGGACAAAGGTATCACCCTGAAGGGCGTGAGCTTTGCGGTAGGGAAGCTGTTGGAATTCTATTCTGTTGACTCAGTGTCTCCTCAGATCAGATGAGTGAGAGAAGCTGAGCCTGTCAGCAGATTTTCTCCGACTGTGCATGCTCAAGCCACATCAAGCAGGTCAATAGTATCTCCAGCCTTTCCTGTTCACGGACAATATCTCCAACTCGAAGGGTAAAACTGAAGACTGCATCCAGTGATCTGCAGCAAGGCTCTGACTTTTAAGTAGGGATTGTTACAGAAGAGTGTGTGTGTGGCCTAAGACAACTGTGGGATAGTTAATAGGGTTGATGCTCTGTAAGGGAACACAAAACATCTAACCCCATCATGTAAAAAGAATCATACCCAAATGCACAATGCCTAAAAATACAAGGCTTTAAGTGTTAATAAACCTTATGCCCTGAAAGTTCCTGAAGCTTCTGTGAAAATGAAACTATGTTCAAATGCTATATCCTGTGAAGTAGAAATGGATCTGGTAAGTTTCGGAAGAAATTTCAACAGTGAAAAAAGGTGACATAACCTTCCATAAGACTTTCTGTTTAACCTTTAGTTAATCAAATAAGTAAATTGACACTGTTTTCCTAGCTTTCAAATTGTATAGGACTTCATTGTACTTTTCAAGTTCAATATTGGGTCTGAGACTCTGTGGAAAGGGTCCATAAAATAAAGAATACAAAGTTGATTGTGGCTGCACCTATTAAGTTGGTCTCTTAAAGGGTCACTTCTCCTTTTTAGACAGAATTCATTTAAATGTTTCAAAAAATAGAATTCTATACTTACTAAAAATTTCTAAAGAGGAAGACACCAGGATTTCCTACCATTAATAAATAGTAACTGTTTAAAAGCCTTAATTCACAGGAAAATACTTCATTTTTCTACCTTCACTGGAGTAAAATGAATCATCATTTGTTGCACGATAACTTTTACATCTTTAAGAAACAGTTTCCTATTACCGTTTTTTTCCCCTCAGAGGTCCCCACTTCCATAATGTGTTTTGGGATTTTTTTGAGATATAATTGTTATATAACATTATATTAGTTTCAGGTATATAATATAATGATTTGATATTTGTTTATATTGTGAAATGATCACCACAGTAAGTCTAATTAAAATCCATTACCACACATAGTTACAAATTCTTTTTTCTTGTTATGAGAACTTTTAAGATCTACTCTCAACAACTTTAAAATATATAATACAGAATTATTAACTATAGTCATGATGCTGTACATTACTAAGATTTTTTAATAACTGAAAGTTTGTGCATTTTGACCCCCTTTATATACTGGGTGTTTCTTAATCAACTTCTCTGATTATAAGATAAAAAAGACACAACCAGATGTGAAAGCCTGGCTATTTTCCATTCATATTCACTGTCCCATAATTATTTATTATTCTATGTGCTATATTCACTTCTTGGGTTTTTTCTCCCCACTAAATGGAGTACTTTGAATTTCACCTGTTGGGTTTCATTTCCAATAGGTGCTTTAGTTTATTAAAGTAATTTTGAGTTCTGAAATGCTAACTACATTATAATGCAACAGAATAAGACTCATGCCAAAAAAGTAGTGTCAAAGCACTGTGAAAATTCAAAGAAGGGAAAGTTAATTTCTATCTATGGGGATCAGGGTAAGCTTCACAGAAGAGTAAAATTTCGGCTAGAAGAGACAGAATTTGTTGGGCAACATAGTTGTTGGGAGAAAACACTGTAATAAGAATGCAGGCACATATACAAAGGTATGAGAATGCTGGGTATTTAGAGGAAAAAGTAAATTGTTCAGTTTGCCATAAATATAAAATGCATAGGTTAAAGAGATTGGAATGGAAGATTATTGACATTTTATTATCAGAAATATAAAAATATATTTCCTCCAGTTCTCATTTACATAAAGAAAATACGTAAAATACAATCCCTGTTTAGTTTTCTGAGACAAACACTCAGGAAAATTGTATTTGAAATAAGTTCTGATTATTTATAACAGGACAAACATTTTGGCACTACCTCTTTTAGAGTATGAGGAAAATTATGTAGAATTCTTCAGGACACTTAGGAAAGCAATAAAATATTTAACAATCCACTTGTGTTTGGGTACCTACAACATTCATATAACTTGCATCTCTTGCTGATAGTGGTCTATTCAGTTTAGGTATCTAGTTTAAGGATCAGAAGACAATTAACATTTAATAACAAGCTCAAATGGCTTACCTGATATTGCTTCTATGTTATTAGCTGCTTGTTTCAACTACTTTACATTAATACTGCTAAATCAAAACAAAGGTTACTAAACAAGTAAAAATTAGCACAAAGGTGCTTTAAAAAATCTGTAATATGATTTTTCCTTATGTAATTCTTTTCAAGGTTACAAAAGTGAGCAATTTTTCTTAAAATGTAACTGCTCTGTAATGATGTAAATACCTTTTGGATTAAGTCATTTTTAATGAATGTAAAGGGAAACTTCTATTAAGATGTACGGAAACTGTCTACCATATAGAGAAACCTATATCTAAAACCTATTTAGTTAATTTTTTGTTCTCATTTTTACATGCTGGGATCCACTTTAAAATTAATTTTGTTTTGTAACCTTTTTTGCTCATTCTAATAATAAGAAACACCCTGATGAATGAAAGACGGTATCAATATGTTTAAAATAGCCTAGAACTTCCTTATCTATGTCCCAAATGCCTTTTCTTCCATTTTCCTATGCAAGATTTATTGCCAAAAACAAAAATCAGCTTGCTTTCACTGAATTTTAAATTCCAAAAGGAAGCAAAACACATGCTAACTCGAAAATGAAAATGCCATCATATTAAGGTAGTGGATCTCTTAGACAAAAGGTGTATTCAAGTTCTGTTTCTATTTAAAGATGATGGAAAAAGAGCACATGCCAGCCTGTACTGTATGTGAGAGCTTTCCTATTGAACACCATTACTATTGGGTTGATATTATCTTGAAAATCCAAGAAGTAAAAGATACACTTTACTTGAGTATATGAATTTTGAATATAGCATGAACTAGAGATAATTTTTGCTTAACTAAAGAGATCGGGCCATAAGAGTGTTTTAGTTTGTTATATTGCCAACTTTTCTTCCTAGGTGATATAAAAATTTGAGCCAGCAAAAAGAAGCAGCTGCCTTCCTGAATGATTCTTTGTAATGAATGTTCTACTAAAAAGTAAGTGACCAGTTGTTGTTTTTTTAACATCTTTATTGGAGTATAATTGCTTTACAATGGTGTGTTAGTTTCTGCTTTATAACAAAGTGAATCAATTATACATATACATATGTTCCCATATCTCTTCCCTCTTGCGTCTCCCTCCCTCCCACCCTCCCTATCCCACCCCTCTAGGTAGTCACAAAGCACAGAGCTGATCTCCCTGTACTATACAGCTGCTTCCCACTAGCTATCTATTATATGTTTGGTAGTGTATATATGTCCATGCCACTCTCTCACTTTGTCCCAGCTTACCCTTCCCCCTCCCCGTATCCTCAAGTCCATTCTCTAGTAGGTCTGCGTCTTTATTCCCATCTTGATCCTAGTTTCTTCATGACCATTTTTTTTAGATTCCATATAGATGTGTTAGCATACGATATTTATTTTTCTCTTTCTGACTTACTTCACTCTGTATGACAGTCCCTAGGTCCATCCACCTCACTACAAATAACCCAATTTCGTTTCTTTTTATGGCTGAGTGATATTCCATTTTATATATGTGCCATATCTTCTTTATCCATTCATCCATTGATGGACACTTAAGTTGCTTCCATGTCCTGGCTATTGTAAATAGAGCTGCAATGAACATTGTGGTACATGACTCGTTTTGAATTATGGTTTTCTCAGGGTATATGCCCAGTAGTGGGATTGCTGAGTCATATGGTAGTTCTATTTTTAGTTTTTTAAGGAACCTCCATACTGTTCTCCATAGTGGCTGTATCAATTTACATTCCCACCAACAGTGCAAGAGGGTTCCCTTTTCTCCACACCCTCTTCAGCATTTATTGTTTCTAAATTTTTTGATGATGGCCATTCTGACCGGTGTGAGATGATATCTCATTGTAGTTTTGATTTGCATTTCTCTAATGATTAATGATGTTGAGCATTCTTTCATGTGTTTGTTGGCAATCTGTATATCTTCTTTGGAGAAATGTCTATTTAGGTCTTCTGCCCATTTTTGGATTGGGTTGTTCATTTTTTTGATGTTGAGCTGCATGAGCTGCTTGTAAATTTTGGAGATTAATCCTTTGCTTCACTTGCAAATATTTTCTCCCATTCTGAGGGTTGTCTTTTGGTCTTGATTATGGTTTCCTTTGCTGTGCAAAAGGTTTGAAGTTTCATTAGGTCCCATTTGTTTATTTTTGTTTTTATTTTCATTTCTCTAGGAGGTGGGTCAAAAAGGATCTTGCTGTAATTTATGTCATAGAGTGTTCTGCCTATGTTTTCCTCTAAGAGTTTGATAGTGTCTGGCCTTACATTTAGAAGTGACCAGTTTTGATGCAACAATCTTAAGCAGAAACAGAATAACACCTGCTTCTTATCAAAATTAGAAAATGAGAATCATTATAAAAGATCTGAGCCATTCATTTATTTACTTAAAAATTATTGAACATCTGCTATGTGCCTGGCATTTTTCTTAGCCGTAAGCCGTGAATTTGAGAACATGACGACTTCGTTACATAATAGAGTAACTACTGTTACATTTTCACTTATAGGATGAAACATTTAAGAAAAGTAGCCTATAAGTAAAAATGGCCAATGATCTATAATCAATTTTCCCTTGAGTAATTACATTTATTAATTTTGTTAATATAGTTACAGTCAAACCATCACTTTCAGGTACATATTTGATCATTTCAAAGTACAAAGAAAGGTTGTTTAATATCAGAGATACAGTTGTTAAAGTTATTAATACAATTCTGTCAACTGAACAATGCCTAAAATCTGACATTTCAGCACACAGGTCTTACTACTCTAAAAACATCAGTTATAGCTAATAGATCTAAAGGATAGCTTTTCAAAGTTTCACTTTCCTCAGCATATTCAAGTTATCATTAAAAGCAAAATAGCTGTTTGTCTATACAGATGTATCTCTAATTTGTGACAAACAAGACTGGTAGTCACAGTAGTTATTAAAGCCAAATCAGAAGAACAATTATTGATCACCTAATCAAAAACAAGGGTATTTCTTTATAAAAGGATTAATGATGGCCTTTGAAACAAGTTAAATAGGTCTTACATAAATAAATGGTAATAAAGGTAGATGAGTGAGTAAATATAATTTCAGAGATCCAATTAAGAGATTGGACTATGGGCAGTTTCAGGTTCGTACCCCAGTGCCTCAACTTAATTGCTGTCTGTCCTCGGAAAAACTATTTACCCCTCTGTACCTGAGTTTTATCAACGCTCGGTCATCCTGGATTTAAGAATTCTGAAGGAGAAAATGGCACTTATATATGGGTTGCTGGTTTAGGGCATATATTGCATCCTGTAGGAGCATATCTGAAATTTATAGGGATTATTCCTCCTCAGATGTCTAATACAGACCTTTTTCCAATATTTTAATCTTGGTTTTTCCATTTTGCTGTCTCCCAACTGGTACAACTGCTGAACATGAGTAGGCTATTCTACCAAATGAAGTAGATTAATACTAGGTATTGGGGAATTTAGTAAGTCTACCAAATTCCATGGGTGTGAGCCCATTGCTGCACTTCTTCTGTAAAAGATTGGCTTGGTTATCTGATGTTGCTGAGATACAATGGCAAGTGGATGAGGCTTTCTATAAGTCCACAGATGGTATTGCTGGCAGGAGGACTATCGATGGAGATTGCCTATTGACAGCCAGAATCCATGACCATCTCAGTAAGGCCATTTCTCTGTCCCTTCTGTATTAGAAAAGATCCAGTACAATCAGTCATTCACCCGAGGTCTAGCTGGTTCCCCTGGGGTATCGTTTCTGCTGTTTGCAGGCTGAGCACTTAGCCCTGACTACAACCATATCAATCTTGATGAACAAGTGTCTATGTTCTTGAGCCCATGAATAGCATATATCTCTGCCACCATAAGCACTTCTTCCCCAAACTTTAGGACTCATTAAGCAATACAAGGGTGGTTGGGGAAAAAGGATTAACATTTACAGGATGGTTCATTTTGTACATTTAATTTGAGATCTTCACACACATGCACTGATCAGAACTCAACTGAAGACTTTTGTGGGTTTCTCAGCAGGTCTCGTGGCATGCTTTCTACGTCTATCTACTCTTCCGTCTCCTTCGGCGTGAATTCTAGACCTCTTGCTGCCTCTGCAGTTAGACTCCCAGTTTTATCTCTTAAACTCAGACTGCTGGAGTCTTCTCCTGGTTTCCCACTCTGCGGTATGGAAATTCTCTTCAGGCAGTAACCTAGAGTAATCATAAGGCTTACCTTATTTGTTGCCCCATTGTCAGGAATCAGTGTCCTGAAGTTTCTCATGTTCAATGTCTGAAAAACATTATTATTTATTTTAGAAGTTTCAGGTGGTATGGTAAATCCAGTCCCTGTTACTCTTTCTTTGGAAGCAGAAATTTCCCACCTTTCCCCCCCCACCCCATATTTGCATGTATATCATTGGCCATCCTTTTATTTTTAACGCATCTGTCCAGAGTAATTTTTGTGTGTGAATAACAGTTATGTCTGGCACTTTCATTCAGTCTGAGAATCTCTGCTTTATACTTGTATTTAGACTATTTATATTTAATATAATTATTATTAGATTTAAATCTACTATCTGGCTGTTGTCTTATTCTTTGCTCCTTTTTTATCTTTGCTTCACTTTTAGATTTAATATATTTTATAGTTCCATTTTATCATTACAAGTGGCTCCCTTTATCTTTTTTATTTTTCAGTGGTTGCTCAATAGCTGACATTATAATAACTGTACATTATCTATTTTCATGTAATATTACTTCACTTAGAAGTGATAAGAACCTCATAATAGTATATTTTTAATTTTCTCCTATATTGTGGTATCATTGTCATACTTTTTATTTCTACAAATGTTATAGAGTGCACAGTAAATTTTTAATATTTAATATTTGTGTGTATGTGTGTATAGATTCCAGTTTCACTCTGGTAACATTTTCCTGTTCCCTAAGTGTTACAGACTGAATTGTGTCCCTCCCTGCTCATTTCATATGTGAAGTCCTAGCCCCCAAAACATCTCAGAATGTGACTGTATTTGTGCACACACAGCGAAAAGACCATGTTAGAACACAGTGAGAAAGTAACATCTGCAAGCAAAAGGGAAATGCCTCAGGAGAAAACAAACATACTGATACCTTGATCTAGGACTTCCAGCCTCCAAAACTGAAAAAATGAATTTCTGTTGATTAAGCCACCCAGTCTATGGTATTTTGTTATGGCAACCCTAGTAAACTCATATACTAAGGAACTTTCTATAATATGTTGTAGTGCATATGTGCTAGAGGTTAATTCTTACAACTTTTGTTTGTATGAAGAATGTTTTATTTCCACTTCATTTTTTTTTTTACATCTTTATTGGAGTATAATTGCTTTACAATGGTGTGTTAGTTTCTGCTTTATAACAAAGTGAATCAGTTATACATATACATATGTTCCCATATCTCTTCCCTCTTGCGTCTCCCTCCCTCCCACCCTCCCTATCCCACCCCTCCAGGCGGTCACAAAGTCCACTTCATTTTTGAAATATATTTTTCTGGTTAAAGAATTCTGGGTGAAAAATTTTTATTTTCTTTTTTTCCTTAAATATTTTAAAATTATTTTTCATTTTCTTTTGCTTGCATGGTTTTTGATTATCTGTGTTTTCTCTGTATGAAATGATTTTTCCCTCTGGCTGCTTTTAAGAGTTTCTGTTCAATACTGGTTTTAAGCAATTTGTGATGGGCCTTGGTGGAGTTTTCTTTGTGTTAATAATACTTGGGGTGTGTTGAACTTCTTGAACCTATGGGTTTATATTTTGTTTCAAATTTAGAAAATTTTGAGCATTATTTCTTCAACTATCTTTCCCATGTGTTCCTCCTTTAATAGAACTCCAATTATATTTACATTAGATTACTTGATATTGTCCACATGTCACTGATGCTCTGTTTAATCCCTGAAGTTACATTTTTCTTTCTTGCTTCACTTTGAAATGTTTCTATGCTATATCTTCAACATCATTAATATTTTCTTCTGCATTGTCTAATCTGCTATTAATATATTCCTACTTTGGATCTTTTTACATCTTCCATTTATCTTCTTATTATAATTCTATTTCCCTTACTTTCTTGAACATATGGTGCATATTTATAACAGCAGCCTTAGTATCCTTATGTTTTAATTGTATTGCCTAAGTTTTTGTGGGTTTTCCATTGAGTTTTCTTCTCTGCAAGTTATTAATCATATATTCTTTCTTCTTTTAATACCTGTTAATTTTTTATTGGATGAATTACATTGTATATGGTGTGACTCTGCTGTCAGGTGAAAACTCCCAATATCCCCAGTCTGTTGTGCTCCAGAAATTAATTGCCTGTTGCTTCCTGGTGATTCTTTGGTCTTGGGTAGTTTCTTCTTGTGAATAGACAAATCAGTGCTTATGCACAGACTCAAGGAAACCCTTATGCAAAGCTCCAGAGCTCTCTTTGCAAGACGTATAAAATGTGCTTCTGGCCTTCAACAAATTTAGAATGTGGTGGGAGAAAGTTAAGAGATCTACTTGAATAACTATAATACCATGTGTGCAGTGTTTTTTTTATCAGTGTACAAGCAAATCAATTTATTATGTCCACCTAAAATCAATAATCCCTGGATGATAGTAATGATAAACACTAATTTAGTACTTACTCTATGCCAAGAGCTAAGTGTGTCACATTCAACTCCTATCCTTACAAGAACTCTATGATATGTACTGATTTTGCAGAAGGGGAACCTGAGGTCTGTGGGAAGGTAACAACTTGGCCAAGTCACATAGTAAGTGAGAGCCAAGATCTTAAACAGTCTGATTCCAGAGTCAATGTGCTTAATTAATAGTTTGCCTTCAAAGATACTTACTCATACAGACCAAATAGAAGATACAACCTAAGAGCCTTACCTTACTAACTAAAGAATTTGAATTTAAATGTTGTCTTCAAAAATGGCTTGCGGGCTTCCCTGGTGCCGCAGTGGTTGAGAGTCTGCCTGCCAATGCAGGGGATACGGGTTCGTGCCCTGGTCCGGGAGGATCCCACGTGCCGCAGAGCAACTGGACCCGTGAGCCACAACTGCTGAGCCTGCGCGTCAGGAGCCTGTGCTCCACAACAAGAGAGGCCATGATAGTGAGAGGCCTGCGCACTGCGATGAAGAGTGGCCCCCCTGCTCGCAGCAACTAGAGAAAACCCTCGCACAGAAACGAAGACCCAACACAGCCAAAAATAAATATACATAAAAGAACAGCTTCTATTGCTTTAAAAAAAACCAAAAAAAACAAAAAATGCCTTGCAAACTTTATCGTACCATACAGAGTGGTATTGGTATCCATTAAGATTGAGTTCAGTTGACAGTAATAGAAACTCTACCCAGAGTGGCTTAAACCAAAAATAGGATGATTTTTTAACATAACAAATTCCAGAGGACAAAAGAC